TTGCCTTCTTTTGGTGCTCCAGGTTCCGAACCTCCATGCGCGCATTCTTTATGTTTTCTTCCATCTGCACGCACAATAGGCATTCTTGCCGTGTACGTCGGGGAGCACACACGCCGATGCGTATGCTGTCAAGCACACTAAATCAATTTCTTGGCTTTTTCTTTCTGGTTGTTCAACCAGAGGTGTTCCACGGGAAATATACCATTTGATTTCGCCTTTTAAGATTGCGAAGGACTAGTTTGTCTTTTTCTACAAAACGTAGCTGCACTTTGAGTCGGGCTCTGCAGCAAACGGCGAAAACAAAATTGGATTGTTACGCAGCATAAATAGACGAAGGTGAGAGGCAAAACAGCACTTGCGGAACAAAGGACGTCTGCTTACTTTAGAGCTTCTTGCTCTCGAAGAGGTTCCCGAATCTTCGCATTTTGTGCTGCCATTATCTCTATTTCCTTTTTGAGCCGTTTGTTATTAGCTGACATCCTCTCGTTCTCGGCCCGCAGCTTCTTGACGAGCTGTAAGTTGTCTCGTGTAATGTCCTCATAGTATGCTACCAACGAAGACATTCGTACAGCATACACAGTTCTTCTAGCGTATTGAATCATTACAATGAATCGAAGAACAGCATTTTGCTTGAGGATACTTCAAATGAGAAAAGGAATGCCTACCTTTTAACCTGCCAAGCGCCTCTTCATTGAACTCCTTAAGTTTATTCTTGTGGCAATTTTTTTGCTCTTCCACCTCTAGCATGGCCACGTTTTCTTGCAGCTCTAGAGATTCCTCCAGTTCCTGGTTACATCAATAGTTGCACCGCGCGTGCAGCACACTGGATCCTAAGTGCCGTAGCCGACAATCTGCACCCGATCGTAATCCCATGGAACATGGGTTAGCGAGCTCTGTGTGGCTCAATAAGGGTTGCTGTCTTTGATTTCCCAGTGCTTCTGCTTTCTCTGAAGTACTGCTGATATTAATTTCTGTAGTAAGTGTGTTTACACACTATGTCATACCTTCCGTTCCCTTTCGCATTGCAGTTGAAGCTCTTCGGTACTCTTTTCGAAAGTCTCCTTAATTTTTTTTAAATGCTAAGCAAAACAGGAACAAGCGGGCTACACTGGAGATACATATGTGGCAGGAAATCATTTTGAAGTTTTCTATGCGAATCACCGAAAGGACGAACACATCGCGCCCATGCATCCAAATCAAACCACGAAACTATGCTTGGCAACATCTGAATTATGGCAACCATGAAGTCCCCACAGTGCACCTAGTGGTTTCTGCGCACACACTATCAGCTATATCGCACTTGATCTAGAGTTTTCTGGAGGGCTTCCACTTCTTCCCTCGTCTCATCAGCCTCTTTTTGAGTCATTGCTTTAAACTCCATGGTCCTAGCTTGCGTTGCGGCCAAGGTTTTTTGAAAGTACTTGTCAGCCGCAGCCAGGAGTTGCTGAGTTGAAATATGCTGTGCTTCCTCTTCTAAGGTCCCTTGTACTTCTAAAACGTGTGCACGGTTTTCGTATGCTGCTAGCTCCTCCAGATGCGCAGCTTCCTCTACTGCTGCATCACCAGCCTCCTTCTCGAGAGTTAACTCTAGCTTGTCAGTGCATTTTTGCGTCGCTTCCCGAATTCTTGCAAGCATCGCCTATATGAAGACCCTTTCACAAATCCTTTCAAATGCAGACCAGGTCGGAGTATCTGGGTTGAGCGCAATACATATTTAAGCCTGATGGCCGTAAACTGCACGGCAATGAGATAAGCTCACTGTTTCCAGCTGCAATTTAATCCTGCCCTGCCTTGTCTTTTCGAGCAATGCGCGAAGACTATCCACTTCTTCCTGTGCTTTGGAGCGCAGTTCTTGGAGAGTACGAAGCTCCTCCAATTCGGCCGACTCTCCATCTGGCAAGACGCGAAGGTTCGCAGTGTACTTATGGATAGGCAGCGCAGTTTGTAGCGATCAAGCATCTGGCCCTTTTTGGTGTATTTGCTTAGAAGCAGCAACTGTTTTCTACATCCAACATTTGTTCAAAGTAATTTACATATCCTTCGCCTAGAATGACAAACTGGGCGGATGCAAACGATTGCTCGCTTGTAGCAGTGATGAGTACAGTCTAATGCCTTTCTCGACAAACAAACACAGAACGTGAAAATTACAAACCTACCGTCGCCTGGCTTTTCTGTCTCCTGTGACTTCTTCTCCGCCATTTTCGCGGATATATGTGCTCACACCAACTAACAGTTTTTACGACTGTCGAAACCTATCAAACCAGCGGAGCTGTCTATTTATAAAATATTTTACTACAAACCATTAGGTTTTCCCTCAGGACCACTGGCCTATTGCGTTTGGAACTTGCGGGGACTTGGAGTGGTGTGGAGCCTAATGGCTTCGATTCTTTAAAGGGTAGCGATGAATGATTGAGGAAGAATTAAAATAAAAGTTTTAACTTGAAGTTTTAAAATCTTATGATTTATTCCATCTTACATTTGCGGAAAGCCCCAAAGCCCCATGGTGCTCGTTGGCTGCATGCTTTGTTAATGCATGCGCTCACAGGAGGCCCAAGCCAACACTCGGAAACGCAACTCAACAGTTCATGAATAAGTCTTTAAAGAGGTTTTGTATGAGTTAGAATTGGCACTGTTAATATATCCGCTGCTAAACTAGCAGGGACTGCTGCACGCCAAATTTTGCTGCTGAAAGTATGCTACTCGAGTAGTGGGGATTTATTCTAAGTTGATGAACCCTATTCTGACGTAAAATGAAGTAGGATTCAGCTCTGGTTCAATGCATCTTATGTGCTATTTTATTTGATGGTTTGCAATTAGTACACAGCCAGCTCAGGAGCTGACTTGTGGGGCTGATGCGAACGCTTCTTTTTACCGCGACGATTTATCCTGTGTGTATGTCGACTTCGACGGTATGAAAAGATGCTCGCTTGGCTATCTGGTGATAGCATAGAAGGGTAATGCATACGAAGGCGAATTACAGCACTATGCTGATATACACTGTGTAGAAAATACTTGTTGGGGTGCATGGCGGGTTTACGACTGGCCTGGAGCTGGTCTGGAGTTCTAGTAGCCGCAACTTCGTTGCAGCTACGTTCTGCATATACGCTCACATCGGCCATCGTTCAGTGTTTGGGGTCAGTTGTAGCAACCGGAGTGACAAAAGTTTTAATCAATCTAGACTGAAGCCCGCAGAAGAACTATTAATGCCAAACATTTTAGCCTTTTCTGGTGCATGGTAAGGACGATGTTCAGTATAGATCACGTGACCAACGCTAATTACTGGCAGGCAAACGGTCAAAAAGAGTACATTAAAAGCATGCCTATGCAATTTTTAAGGCAGTACTCTTAACTTAATTCATCAACCTAGCATGATTATTTTCCTGGTGCATTCGCCATCCTGGTGTTCTCCTGACACCCGTGCTTACGTCGCACAGCAAACGTCAGACAGCCAACGCTATTTCGTTGTAAGCAACGGAACAGCGTTGGCTCTCTGACGCTGCTCCTGGTTGTTGGTAGCCACTGCATACCTCCGCCGTCAAAGGCACCCGGGCAGCGCTTGCAACAGCTTCGGAATGTACGAAGAAAGCGCATGAATGCGAATTAATATACTACGCAGAAAATGTTCTACAGTTACTCTTACCATATGAGGTAGCTGTAGTTGGCGTGTACTGGAGTTTGCATATCGGTAGATAAGTTGCAAGTCGTCGCCGTAGCTTGATGTATCAGGTCCCATTCGCGACTTTTACCAACTATCCCTAGCTACCCGTCACCGTCCGTACTAACTTGAATAAGCATATATCTGAACCGTGGAGGATCTGCAAGTGCGGTTGTCACTTCTTTTGGGCCCATCACTGCATAGCACGTTGGTTGGGAGCGATGAGGTCTTCGCTGTCTGTGTTTTGGTTTCGTAGTTGCTGCTAGAAGTTTTGCTTCTTCCGCTAGCACGTGCAGCCCCAGAGTTCACAGGCTCTATATATGGCTCATATCCAAAGCCTTCTTCTTCCTCCTCAACCACCGTAATGGAAGCCCTCCTTTCTTCCCTTGGTGCAGAAGTGCTCCACAAATGAACTCTAGCATTTCACCCTCTTAGCCAGCTAAGGAATGCCTGACCCAGCGGACAGAAGTACGACTATAGAGAAGAAAGGAATTCTCATTCTGGCGCCTGCCATGTTCGGGCAGCCCGCAAACGCGGAGCTATCCTCTATATATTGCTTTCGCCCCACGAACACTTTCGCCTTAATGGGATATGGATACTTTGCTCGTTCCAGTGTGACAATGTTTCCGGCCAATGGTCGCCTAGCCGAAGGAAAGCGGGCCCTATTCAGCATCCATTACTCACGCTGGGATATTGAATCTTTACCGAGAAGAAGAGGAAAAAATTCAAGTACTCTACGCAAAATGTGTCAGAGAGCCCTCATGAGTAATTTTTGCTATACACTAGAGTGTACAGATATGCGGACGGGATGTGCAGTTCGCGTCTGCCCCACTTAACCATGCATTGCTACCAAGTGTATCGACAGCCCTCAACCTTAGCTGAGGACCTCCGTGTGCTTCGAAGGGGCGCAAAGTTCAAAAAATTCGAACAGCTTTTCTCCAGTATCCAGGCGTCCTATTCACAGCAGCACAAAGGCCTGGGGATGATACAGCGAATGAGTTGCAGCACTCTCCGCTACAACTCCTGCTACAAGACAACCCTTCATGCAAGCTCCCCCAAGCCAGCATTGGATGCGCAGACCAACATTATACAGAAGTGTTAAACACTTATTTTCCTCACCAGAAAACCTGCATGCAAGTAGAAATGCATGTACTACCTTCAGTGATACCGTGCAACATCAACCCCCAAACACAACGTGTAATCTAGCTAGACTATAAGGAGCTAAATTTAAGGTATTTATTTAGAAGCCTTGCAATAAACCTTCAAAGAAATTTCTTTTTTCAGGTTCTTTCTCCATTGTCCGCTTATATGTACACAAGGTGGACAACCGCCTGCTTGCTTGCTGCCTCTCCTATATAGGTAAGCCTGAGGTGCAGCAACAAAGTGCATAAAAGCTACACCAGAGACCTCACAATGACCCTAAACAGCTTGTGTGTGCGTCAAGTTACACTAGAAATAAACTGGAATTACATATATTATTCATGTCGATAGACTGTGCTCGATGGGCTCGGGGGGGCCCCACAGGGGGCCCCTGGCTCCCAAGTGAAGAAGGCCCTGGTATTGAAAAAAAAACAAATAAAATTCTCCTACGCTGCGGTGGTGTACAAATAAAATAAAAACAAGTAATGTTGGGGAGATGAAATGAAAGAAGGACGGGCACACAGATAGGGCTTGGCGAGAGCGGCTACACCTAGACGCTAAAACTGAATAAGCATAGCGGTATATGGGTTTCTCTACAACTTCCTGATATTAAACCAAACATGTTTCTGAATAGGGTTTAGTATTGCATCTGGGGTTCTGCGTAAAGGGTTTAGGGTTTACGCTCAAGGCTGCAACCTCCGTATTCAAATCCTACCTGTATAGCCGTACACTGCTTGTATCTCTTTTCCTCTGTGCGGCTCCTGCATGCCAGCCGGCAGCGACCCGGCTTGCCCTGCAGGCCTTGATGGGTTCCCCTCAGGTGTTGGTGGAGGCCCTGCATACTTGGGGGCCCCCATACCTCTGGGGGCCCCCGTCCGGTTGGGGGCCCCCCTGCGTGTG